AGAAGAAGAAGAAGAAGAAGAAGAAGAAGAAGAAGAAGAAGAAGAAGAAGAAGAAGAAGAAGAAGAAGAAGAAGAAGAAGAAGAAGAAATGCATCCACTCCTTTTTCTTCAGGAATCAACTTTCTATGGTATTCATAGGAACCTACATAGCATAAGGAGAAAAAACTGTGACGAGAAACTTTTTTATTCTTTTGTCTGATTACTTGTGTATAAACTTGCAAGTTTTCTTCCTATGAAAAACTAGATCTCTCAAGTTCCTGCCCCGCCCTTTGCTGTACGTGAAGTAAATGTTTTCCCCCACTGGAAAGTATAATATTAGTGGCAAGAGTAGTATCAGCAATCACTCTCTACCCCTTATAGACGAGGACACGGAACACAGAAGGAAAAATGGTATTCCTCTAATGGGCTAACACCAAGAGTCTTAAGCTGTGTTTTTTGCTTAAGACTTTTGGTGTTAGTTGGCAATGGTCGAGAGACGGCAGGAACTGACCTACTCTGGTGATGGGAAGGCCAGACACCCTGATAGTTGTGCCATAAACCCCATCCAAGGACTGAGGAATCTGGATGCAGACATCCACGGCTGGGCCCCTGGTGGAGCACTGGGAGTCTAATTAGTGAGAAAGAAGAGGGTTTATATGAGCGAGAATTGTTGAAGCCAAGGTTGGATAAAGCACAGGGACACGGGCGTTGGTGGCGCACGCCTTTAATCCCAGCACTCGAGAGGCAGAGCCAGGCGGATCTCTGTGAGTTCGAGGCCAGCCTGGGCTACCAAGTGAGCTCCAGGAAAGGCGCAAAGCTACACAGAGAAACCCTGTCTCGAAAAACAAAACAAAACAAAACAAAAAAAAAAAAAGCACAGGGACAAATAACCAAATGAATGGTATATGTATACCAAAGAATTGTTTTAAATGAATTTGTGATATATTATAAGTAAGGTTTTGTTTGGATACCTGTTTTATACACCTGTATACCTAGGGTCAAATAGGAAACTTCTCAGATGAAAAGGGGTCATGAGTAGAAATCTCAGTGCAACATTATGATTGAATCATGTTCTCTACTGCCATGAAAAGTATCACTTTGACTAATTCTCAATGCCCACCCCACTCCCCAGGACTGGTTAATGGTCGGCAACACTTAGTTTTTAATTTCTCAGTTTTGGAACAACTAAGAAGTGGAGACTATAATACCACACAAGAATACAGAAGCCTTGTCAAGCCTGGAAGCCAGATTAACCTTTTGAATAATCACTATCCTAGGTTAAAAGGGACCAGCACTAGAAAATTAGGATACACTGCATAATTAATTCAGTTTACTCTTCTCCACTGATGAAGAAAAACACACACTGCCTGGCGTCTGTTTGCATCCTAAGCTGGCCTTCACATACACTAAAGTGTAAACTCTATCATTTCTATTTCACATGTTATTTGGGGGGTTTCCACAAGAATTTACAAACATATACTTCTTAACAGAGTTCACATATTCATCTGCATATGAGGTTTCTTCTTTTACCAAGTGCAAGTAAAAGCATTTCAACCAGATCTGACTTCCTGACTTTGCAGGGTGTGTGTGTGTGTGTGTGTGTGTGTGTGTGTGTGTGAGAGAGAGAGAGAGAGAGAGAGAGAGAGAGAGAG